AATTTCGGCGAGCGCGAAACAGAAGAATTCGGAGCCTGTTCGCGGGCTAGAGTGGAAGTGTCATTGAGGTGCAATATAAACCCTTGGGAGTATTGACAGCTAAACTGCGTCGACGACGCCTGATGATCCTGCCTTGAAAAATTACCGGATCTTGCATCGTTGTCTTCTAATCTCATTTTAATGCCGAATCTTCCGCTGAAATAATTAATTGCAGTTTCTCGAGGAGCTTTGGTCAAATTATTAACTTTCGCGCGTTTACTTTCTAGTTAACAAAAGTTCAACGAGCTCGAGCGACCCGCAGAGAAATACTGAGCTGAAGATGTACCCTTAAAACAGCTGCTGATTGGATATCGTTATCAAGACGCAAACTGCTTCCAATGTGCATGATAAACAGAACATTATTTGTTTTGCTCCGATTTACGCGCAACAGGTGTTTGTTTAGGAATTAGTTTTGTCGTCCGAAGACAGGAAAAGAGAACATTAACGTGACATAAAACAGGATGACGGAATCTCAGTTGGAAGGGACCAAGACAGAAACCGAAATCAAGCCGCTGGATTCCAATCGGGGTGTCATTTTACTTGCGTACTGATGGATTCTTTTCACGATTCCATGCGCGTAACAACGCAGCTGGAACTGGCTGTACGTTTTTCTCCCAATATTTACTATTTCACGGACCTAGCGCAAGATGAAATTCACTCTGTGGTATAAAAATTCATGAACTGTCCACCTTCTGTCCCCGTCAAAAAGGGAAAGGGGAAAGCGGCGCGGGCTCATTTTCCCCGAACAACGGTTGGTAAATCGAGCCCAACCTCAATCCAGGGTTAGAGACTGAAAAATTCCTTTTTACGTTGTCATCTCCAATTAATGCCCTAAGTTTGCGAGATTTCACCATCTTATTATCTGAAACGAGACCCTCAAGAAGAATTACATGTTCAATTTAACGTGACACAAATATAACGAGACCATACGCACGAAAATACGAAATAAACAAAAAACCTTTCCTGCGAAGTAATATGTTCTAAAGAAACATCGTGCGTTTAGCCAGGCTGTGAAACAGTCTCTTTTTAATTTTTTTCTCGAGATGTCCGTGCGGGAATTCACGGTGACACGAAGCTCGCGCGGCAGGGGCACGAAATTCTCACACTCGTTCCAGATCCCATTGGGATCGTGGTTTGCCCAAAGATCCGAGACCATTCCTGTGTAGCTGTCAACAAACAAACAAACAAACAAACAAACAAACAAACAAACAAGCAAACAAACAAACAAACAATTTCCACGAGCAAAATCACTGATACACTAACACAATCAAGTTCCAGTGTTCATATCAAGCCCTCAACACTAACACTGTTTCGCGTGTATAATAACCCAGCGGTTCTCCTCACACCTTCTTTATTTATTAGTCCTAGGAAAATGAATTGACCACTACACGTTTTGTCAGTGTTCACCTTGTGAACAAGACGGTAGGAAAATTCCTGTCCGCTTTCAAGCCTTAAATACGGTTTATTGCCAGTTCCGCATTATCAAATAAGCGTCAACTTGGAAAGGTAAACGGCAAGTACTTTTTGTGCTCTGAAATGACTGAAAGGGGAGCCTTTGAGAAAACGAGAAATTTACGAAACAAAAGCCCCGTCTAACACTTAGACAACTAAGGTCCTTTTTTTTTCACGATAGCTTCGAATGATGTTAAAGAAACATCACACGTGACTCGTCTAGAAAAAAACATTCGTTGTTCGTCATCCTTCTGAATCTTTCCCAATCTCATCCATTCTTGTTTCTTTTTGTTTTATTATTACTTCTTCGATGTTTTTCTACCTTAGTATAGTATTATTTTGAGGTGTCCTTCGATTTGAAACTAACTTTGTACATCGCAGAAAAGTGGCTTGATATATAGTGCCGGACATTGCTTCTTCTAAACCGAGCAAACACCGCATTGACAAAAATGCTATTCTTGTTCGAAAATATAAAATAAACTCGCGTATATAAAATTATCTTCTATAGTCCTTTTAACAGTTTAATTAAACAAATCAGCATCAGGGCTATTTTGGAAAATTGGTGAAGTTTTTTCGTATAAAGTTTTCGACCAATCAGAAGGCGCGTCATATCACTGCGACGCCATTAAGAGCAGTGGTTATCTGATAACGACTTTGAACCAATCAGGAAGAGCAAAAGATTCCTGCTGTTCTCTTAAATCAACTGGCCTGTGCGCCTGAGTTCAAACCATTTACTGAATATGTCAGGTCCTTTGATCTGAATTAGACATGGCAATCCTAACTGAATTAGAGTTTAGTAACTAGCGTGTATCTTGATTCACTACGTGTCGTCTTTTCTTTTACTCTTTAGTTTATCAAATCTCTTTTGGAGGTGATCGTTAACGGTTTGCAATTCGCCTATTTCGTCTTGTGCTTTACGAAGCTGCAAAAGTAAAAGAATAAATTTAAATTAAATAAATAGCTTAAAAATAAAATAAAGTTAATGTCAGAGTGAACTTCAGTCAGTCGGTCGGTCGGTCGGTCGGTCGGTCGGTCCGTGCGTCCGTCAGGTCAGTCAGTCAGACGAATGGACGAGACAAAAACGAAAAAAAGTTAGAACAAACCTCTCTTTGCAATTTTCTTTTTTCAGCCTTGAGTGAATCCTCCGTCGCTTCCTGTAAGAAGACAATTGTACTTGATTATCTTACTATGATAATCTATAAAAACCTAGGGTTTTTTGCATCTGAGCTTATTTGAAAATTAAGATAGCACTCTCGTTATCGACAGTTAAAGACACCTCTGACGTTTCAAAACAGTGAGTATATTGACAAGTCAATTCTTACCGCCGCCTCCGCCTGGGTTTTGTACCGCTTCACTTGACTTTCCACTCTCGCCACCTAAACAAGACAGTTATAAGCAAGTTGATAATTCACGTGCCATCAAGCTTGTCACGCAAACTACGTAACGCAACACGTTTACGGTAGCAAAAAAAGCAGGAAATGATCAGGAAAGTAAAATTGAACGCTTTTTAACATATAGGACTTCAAAGTTTCACAAAATATTAACTGAAGGGTATTTTCATTTGGTCAACAGTTATCACATTCTCTTGTTCCAGAATCTTAGATTTCTATGTTGTAAAGGAATTTTAAAGACGCTCACAAAAGTATGACAGATGAGTGTAAACACTCCAACAAAGCTGTCAGAGAGAGACGGGATGAAAACATTTGTTTGAGCAATTTAAAATTTGATCTTTTTTTCATTTGCAATGAACCATTTTCCTCCATGCTGTCAACAATAACACTTCAAAGAAGATTTTTGCTGAATAAATAATTTGTAACAGTTTACACTAAACTCTTCGCTGACCAAAACTTGCACAATTGAGATATGTTATGCCTTAAACAATAAGCATGTAAAACTGTATTTACATTAATCTGAAGAAGGCAACACATTTAATCAACCAGTCTCTCAAAATGTTTAGTGGATCAATCTTTCATATTGAACCTGATGTGACGGTATTTTGCTGTCATGCCAGCGCTAACCTGTTCCTCTGGTTACTGCACTCTTAAGAAAGATTGTTTAAGTTCCGTGACTTTATTTGTTAACTTGCCACTATAATGCAATAGATCAATAACTGAAGAGGTGATCAAGTTCCACGGACTGAAAAATTTGTATCAAGATTCATCATTCTCCCGTAGGAGAGAACCCAGTCCTGCAATGTCCTGCAGTTCTTTGACAACCCCTGACCCCCCCTCCCCCGTTTGTCTGTCTGACAGTGTGCACATCATCTCTTCCCTCAGATCTCCATTCATGAGAGATTTCAGTTGTCAGCAATTAGCGCTATTCAACTCATTGAATGACCGACTGAATAATAACTGATAATTGACTGAATCAGCGACATCTTTAACTATTATCTCAGTCCTTCAGTTCTACTTACAAGTCCTTCAAGTCGCGCATTGTCCTGCTCAGCTTTTTGTAGCTTTATTTTGAAATCATTTATTTGCCTACTAAATTCTCCTGGAAAGCAAACGGAAACATAGCATTACCAAACATGAGCCACCACGTTGCTGTAAAGGGATTTCATTAGGGGCCGGGCACTGGGCAAATTGCCCAGCTTTGAGGATGATTTTGCCCGCCTGGTTTGACCATCTTGCGGAAAGCTTTCCTTATAAAGAAGTTCAGTTCAAAAAGTTTTGTCCCACTGTGAAAACCAGTTGCTCTTCTGCTGAAAACATTAATGACACCCCTGACTACACTGCATGTGACTGATGGTTTAAATGTCTCAAGGTCTCCAGAACAGTGCATGTTTAACACGGGTACAGAATGATCAAAGCTTTGGTTTGCTAGCACCAGGTGCACAATAAGGTTAGTAGTTAAACTGTTACAAATTTGTTACTCAGCACTCGGAAGATGTTGCATGATTATTTGTTATTTGACCACAGGTTTTAACATTAGTGGTTATTTTACACCTATTGAACTGCAACATGTGGTAAAGCATTATAGTGCATAATTTAAATATAAAATCTTGTGTCAGAGCTAAAAAAATGTGTAAAATAATATGATAAACAAGAAATGCTTTTAACAGAGCAATGAAGATGAAATGAGTGGGGTCAAAGAGTGGCGCCATTTTTTCTAGAAAATTGATGAAAATGAAAATTCTGAACAATAGTAATAATGATAATGATAATGATGACGATGATAATAATACAAAATAATGTAAACGCAATTTATTTTGCAAAGAGAGCTGTCACGAGCTTGTTATGAAGTGTTTATGAAAAGAGACTGATTTGGAGGGTGTTGGATTTTGTGGGGGGCAGATAACTGGAGAACCCACTTACAAAGGTGGGTCCAGATAAAGCACTGTGACATGTAACTGTATAGTCACATAAATTGCCTGTTTTATTTCGTACATTTTTCTTTTACTTTTGCAATGACTTGTGGAATTGTGTGTGTGTCTGGCCATAATAAGTCTGGTTCATGATGTAACGACATAAAAACTCCACAATATGACAGAAAAAAATAATTTTTCTAGTAATGTTGTTATGCTTACGCCATTACATGTATGTATTAACACAAGGTGTTTGTGTTAATGCTCTGACCCTGCTGTTATGTCACTAGTGTTGACCAGGAATTACAGACAAGATGTAATGTTCTTGAAAGGATAAAGGAAAAGAACAAGCACAATCCAAGGTAACACATACTTCTAAGTTCTTCTAAATCAGCTGTAATTGCCTTGGGTGTTTCAGTATCTTCTCTCTTCAGTGACACTACTTCAGCTTGAAGATTCTTAATCTGTAGAAAAAAAGAAACGTTATTACTGTATATTGATTAGAAATAATATTAAGAAAACCTTTGAACAAACTCGGAGGACTTGTTCTACTCAACGCTACAATAACTTACAATGAGCTTCAAAATGCAGAAAAACAAATGCCATAACATGACCTGTCTTTTAAAACTTTGAGCTCCTAAATGGCATTTTTTGTTGGGGGGGTAGGCTTAACTAGATGTAGAACTTTTTACTAAACATTTAACCAATAAACCATTGTGCATAAACTGAAAACATCATGAAATACAGAATGAAACTTCATGTTTTGCTTTGGACAACTTGTGCTGGCACAAGAAAAGAGATATGCACACAGTGCCTCTAGGATGAATTCATAACCAAAAGTTAGGAGAGTGATGTAGAAAATAATAGTGAAAGATGTTCTCACCTGTAAAACTAATACATCCTTTTCATCTGATAAGGAAGGACGGCGACTGTTTGAACGACTCTTTGGTGGCTCTGACACACTGCTTCGGTCTAATATTATACAACAAGAAACTAAATACACTCAAATAAATTATACTGTTAAGTAAAAATTTATCTTCAAAACTATACCTGCTTTATAATACAACTTCTCCCACACTCAGATTTTAATTTATACAAACTTCTTCATTTCCCTCTTTTCACACAACTGCTTGGTAAATAGCCTAAGATGTTCTCATGATATGCCATGGATTGTCATCATCGATTCCTTCTCATCCCATGTGGAATAATGTTGTTGATGACTTAAATTTTTTAGATAGCTTCAGTTCTTGACTACTTTGAATTTGAATTGGGTGGGTTACCAGGGGTAGGACCATTCCATGGGCAGCACAATGCCTGCTTAACAAAACCTCCAAGGAGTTTGTGAGCCAAAACCCCCATTGAGGATTTGTGTGTCGCATGATGCAATGAGAACTGATGATGATGACAACATGACTTGTATGTACCTGAAGAAGTTTCATCAGGGACAGCCAAACTAATAGCATCTCTAAGTGAAACTGTGCTTGCTTCTTGATCTTCGCAATCCTTCAATTCCTGGTCTTCATAAAGGGAAAGACCTCGCTCCTGAGAGAACAAGATTAGTTACTAACTTAATATCAGAAATCTTCTGTTACACTCCAGGGAATGAAACAGTACAGCACAAGGAAGGGCTTCTTTCAATGTCCAAACGCTCTTTTCCTCAGCAAAAAAACAAAAAAACAAAAAAACAAAAAAACAAAAACAAATCTCTTCTGAATTTGTACATGCAAGGAAAAATAGCACTGTTGAAAAGAAGTGAGGGGGGGATGAAAACCTATTTTAATGGTTCCCCTCTTGGCATTAAGGAGCAGTTGAAGTAAAAATTCAAAGACTTTTCAAGGACATTCCAGGCTAAATTCCAATTTTTCAAGGACTCCATCCAGTAGAATACCGTTACAATGTGACACTAGATGTTCGGGTTTAAGGGATAACTGCCTCATTTGTTCAAGTATAAATCTTTTTTTTTTAGTTCTTCCACTACGTGGAAACAGTCAAACAACAAATCTCAAGGTTTCTCAAGGACCCAAAGTACTTTCCATGGACTTTCAAGGCCATAAATTCTAATTTTCAACTTCAAGGACTTCCAGGGAATGCACGCAGACCCTGTATATAAAATATAATTCAATCTCTATTCTTATGTCAGTCCATATAGCATATTCTTTTAAACAACATTGGGACCCTAACCATCTGGACCTGGATCTGGATCTGGATCTGACACAGGGCTGACTGCAGTATTATTTTGTTCCTAAGCACAAACTTACCGCCAAGAAGTTATCTCTAAATTCAATGGCTTCATTTAGTCTCTTGATTTCTTCTTCATTCCCCTTTATGGTCTTTTGGTATTTACTGCATTCCTGAACAAACAAAATACAGGTCATTACTTGCTACCAGTCACTTATATGCTGTGCAAAATGGCAGTTTTTTTATCTTAATTTTTGGTCACGAAAACAGCATTTACCTTTGTTTTCTCTTTAAATTCAGCCTTAACTTCACTTGAGATTTCTTCCTCTTCAGCCAGCCTATGACATGAAAATTCAACGTCATTAAAAACAGGAAATGTTCACACTAGTGAGTCTGAGCAGCGGGCAAGAGTTCACGTAAGGACTTTTGATAATGCCTGTACCATAACTTGATAATTTTCTTCATTCTCATGGCATGCCTATTAGACTATGCGTTGATATTGCTAGGAGAAATTCCTGGTTGATCATGTTTGCTTCACTGTACCTGTCCTTCAGACAGTCCACTTGATACAACAGTGCCTGCTTCTCGTTGTCTAGTTGAGCAATTGATACCATTGCTTTCCTGTACTTTTCTTCTGTTTCTTTCAAATTGTCCTGAGAATTGAAAAAAATATCATGTCAGTCACACTTGAGACACTTACTTGACATCTGAATTGGTGCCAAATAATATTGCGTGGTTCCAGAAAATATCAATACCCTCACCACCGAGGGGATTGGAAATTCCAGAGGGAATTAGGGCTACTCCCTCCAGAGTTCCCACTAGTTTTTATAGTTGAGGGTCATTGTAACCCCCAGTGATTTGGGGGTTCTTATGGCTTTTCAGGGTTCCTTTACCTATTACTAAAATTTTTGAAACTCTTATCCTGTATCCTTGGGATGCACTTTGCCAAAAAACTGTCTTTTTTTTGTGCGTACTAGACGCATAAGATGCACACCAGTGCGTTAATGGGAACTCTGGCCTTGTGTGCCACTTTTTTTGTT